ATTTTTTATTTGGGCCTTATTATATTCATATGCATATAATAAAGCCCAATGTCAGAGTTTAATAAAATTTTTTTTTCGTCTATTTACATGTATTCTATATATAAATAATATATTTTATTTTTGGGAGTGAATAAAATGAAGATTTGATTCTCACTTAGTTTATTTCAATATCCCCATAAATAGAATTAAAAAAAAATAAACTAAATTAGGTGGACCTTATCCGGCTCAGGTACCTTGTATGTAATACGTTCTTATTGACTTTGTTTACACAGCTCGATTTAAGCCGAAGTTACAAGATCGATGTTAGGAAACTGGCCAATCACAGTCATTACATTCTTCAGAGGAATTGCCCATTTTCATAACATCGATATTATTACTTCGGCTTAAATCGAGCCGTGTAAACGTAGTCATAGATCGTAATTGTCGATATAAATAATAAAGATTCAAAAAAGTAAACAAATGATAACCAGGCAATTGGGAATTGGTGCTGTAGATGGTGCGCAGTTTTTATTTTTTACAAATATTTTATATTATATATAATATGAAATATTTGAACATATTTCGACAATCTTTAAGCCTTCTTCAGCAAAAAATTCAATAGATGATACAATCAGTTATTATTCATGAGTCGTAGTCAAAAACCTTAAGAAGAAACTAATCGCAGTTAATTGAAGTATCAGTCAATTACAAAGTATTTGGGAAGTACTTTTTGATAATCCATCAGATGATGAACATGATTATTTTCCACTTGAAAGGAAACGTCATAATAAAATTTCACGTTTTGAAAATATTATTTTGACGTATTCTTTAATAGATAAGACTTCGAAGAAAGGAAAAGAAAAAGAGAGAGATTTTGGTAGACCAAGAGGTCGACCGAATTTGGTATAATGCTAGAGTCCCGACCCATGAGGCACATTTGCGTCCCCCATGCCGCGTATCGCGGAATCAGTCAGTAATCAGTAACACGAAATCACAGCTGATCACAGCAGCGGATCGTTTCTGATTGGTTACGCAGTTACGCGATACGCGGCAAATACACCTCATGGGATTCCAGCATTAGACTCTCCAGTTGAAAAGCTGGATGGTAATGAATGATTATGGTAGGAACCTATTAGATATAAATAATAATTAATAACTGAAATATAATATCATGGTCAAGAGGAACTTACCACACAATGATGTAATCGACGATTATAAATTATAATGGTCGAAAATATTACATTAACAGTAAATAGTCGTAATAAAATTAGAGGCGTAGTCAAATAATAAAAGCATATTAAAGAGTTAATATAAGCGATACTGCGATTTAACAATAAAAACATGTCTTTCTTAATAAAATAATAAATTTATATATAAAGATTGGTCCAAAATACATTATACAATTGATTAAAATAGAGAAATAAATAATATTATGCAAAACATAATATTTAAAGTAACATTACATATAATAATATACAGTGTGCTGAAACGAAAATATTAATATCATATTTATTCTTTCACTACAGATATCATTTAAAAACAGTTTAGTATCATTAAAAATTATCCAAACAATAACTATCAAAATGAATTACAAAAACATACTATCCAAAAATAGTAGCCTTGATATTTCTTAAATAATTTCTTCAATAATTACTTCTTGAATAATAATTTAAATTACATCAATACATTATTATTATCATCATTTCCAGGACATCCGGGTATTCCTGGAATTCCCGGAATTCCAGGCACACCAGGAAAACCAGGAACACCGTCATATCCAGGGCATCCAGGAACTCCGGGTATCCCTGGTATTCCAGGTACACCAGGAAAACCAGGAACACCGTCATATCCAGGGCATCCAGGAACTCCGGGTATCCCTGGTATTCCAGGTACACCAGGAAAACCAGGAACACCGTCATATCCAGGGCATCCAGGAACTCCGGGTATCCCTGGTATTCCAGGTACACCAGGAAAACCAGGAACACCGTCATATCCAGGGCATCCAGGAACTCCTGGTATCCCTGGTACTCCAGGAACACCAGGATATCCCGGCACACCAGGAAAACCAGGAATACCATCATATCCAGGGCATCCAGGGACTCCTGGCATCCCTGGTATTCCAAGTACACCAGGAAAACCAGGAATACCATCATATCCAGGGCATCCAGGAACTCCTAGCATCCCTGGTACTCCAGGTACACCGGGAAAACCAGGAATACCATCATATCCAGGGCATCCAGGAACTCCTAGCATCCCTGGTACTCCAGGTACACCGGGAAAACCAGGAATACCATCATATCCAGGGCATCCAGGAACTCCTAGCATCCCTGGTACTCCAGGTACACCGGGAAAACCAGGAATACCATCATATCCAGGGCATCCAGGAACTCCTAGCATCCCTGGTACTCCAGGTACACCGGGAAAACCAGGAATACCATCATATCCAGGGCATCCAGGAACTCCTAGCATCCCTGGTACTCCAGGTACACCGGGAAAACCAGGAATACCATCATATCCAGGGCATCCAGGAACTCCTAGCATCCCTGGTACTCCAGGTACACCGGGAAAACCAGGAATACCATCATATCCAGGGCATCCAGGAACTCCTAGCATCCCTGGTACTCCAGGTACACCGGGAAAACCAGGAATACCATCATATCCAGGGCATCCAGGAACTCCTAGCATCCCTGGTACTCCAGGTACACCGGGAAAACCAGGAATACCATCATATCCAGGGCATCCAGGAACTCCTAGCATCCCTGGTACTCCAGGTACACCGGGAAAACCAGGAATACCATCATATCCAGGGCATCCAGGAACTCCTAGCATCCCTGGTACTCCAGGTACACCGGGAAAACCAGGAATACCATCATATCCAGGGCATCCAGGAACTCCTAGCATCCCTGGTACTCCAGGTACACCGGGAAAACCAGGAATACCATCATATCCAGGGCATCCAGGAACTCCTAGCATCCCTGGTACTCCAGGTACACCGGGAAAACCAGGAATACCATCATATCCAGGGCATCCAGGAACTCCTAGCATCCCTGGTACTCCAGGTACACCGGGAAAACCAGGAATACCATCATATCCAGGGCATCCAGGAACTCCTAGCATCCCTGGTACTCCAGGTACACCGGGAAAACCAGGAATACCATCATATCCAGGGCATCCAGGAACTCCTAGCATCCCTGGTACTCCAGGTACACCGGGAAAACCAGGAATACCATCATATCCAGGGCATCCAGGAACTCCTAGCATCCCTGGTACTCCAGGTACACCGGGAAAACCAGGAATACCATCATATCCAGGGCATCCAGGAACTCCTAGCATCCCTGGTACTCCAGGTACACCGGGAAAACCAGGAATACCATCATATCCAGGGCATCCAGGAACTCCTAGCATCCCTGGTACTCCAGGTACACCGGGAAAACCAGGAATACCATCATATCCAGGGCATCCAGGAACTCCTAGCATCCCTGGTACTCCAGGTACACCGGGAAAACCAGGAATACCATCATATCCAGGGCATCCAGGAACTCCTAGCATCCCTGGTACTCCAGGTACACCGGGAAAACCAGGAATACCATCATATCCAGGGCATCCAGGAACTCCTAGCATCCCTGGTACTCCAGGTACACCGGGAAAACCAGGAATACCATCATATCCAGGGCATCCAGGAACTCCTAGCATCCCTGGTACTCCAGGTACACCGGGAAAACCAGGAATACCATCATATCCAGGGCATCCAGGAACTCCTAGCATCCCTGGTACTCCAGGTACACCGGGAAAACCAGGAATACCATCATATCCAGGGCATCCAGGAACTCCTAGCATCCCTGGTACTCCAGGTACACCGGGAAAACCAGGAATACCATCATATCCAGGGCATCCAGGAACTCCTAGCATCCCTGGTACTCCAGGTACACCGGGAAAACCAGGAATACCATCATATCCAGGGCATCCAGGAACTCCTAGCATCCCTGGTACTCCAGGTACACCGGGAAAACCAGGAATACCATCATATCCAGGGCATCCAGGAACTCCTAGCATCCCTGGTACTCCAGGTACACCGGGAAAACCAGGAATACCATCATATCCAGGGCATCCAGGAACTCCTAGCATCCCTGGTACTCCAGGTACACCAGGAAAACCAGGCAAACCAGGAACGCCGTCATATCCTGGACATCCAGGAACTCCTGGCACTCCAGGCACTCCGGGAATAGTTGAATTATACCCAACATATCCTGGTATACCTGGAAGTCCGGGAACATCATACCCAGGACACATAGGAATTAGTATCGCTAGCACATCTGGCACTCTCGGCATATCAGAAATATCCGAAAATCTAGGAAAACCAATATCATCTTATCCCGGATATCCTGCTTATCCTGTTACATCAGAAACACCTAACGTACCTTTACATTCTGAGGCGCTAGGTAAACCAGATGATTTATTATATCCCGGGATTACCACTATACCAAATAGGCCAAGCATTTCTTTCAAGCCGGATAAACCAGGTATGTTGTCAAGGTTACTTAATTATTATTACTGTAATTATAAATATTACGTCAAACGTTATTTATTCTTGCATATAAGAGATTTGAATATACAGGGTGTTTCCAAATTAAATGGCAAAACTTCGGGAGCGTGTAGAGGAGTAAAAAACTAAGAAAAAAAGTCCTATAGACATATGCTCGTTTTTGCTCCGTTTCAGAGAAATCGAAAAAAAATGTTTTTTTTACCTGCAAGATTAAATGGGGACCGTTTTCTAAATTTCTTGGAGAATGAATTTTCTGACTATTTAGAAAACATCCCATTACAACAACGTACTGAAATGTGGTTTCAATTAGATGGATGCCCTGCTCATTACAGCAGAGTCGCTAGAACCTGGTTAGATAGCTTTGTTTCGCAGGAAATCACGAAAAAAGAAAAAAATATATTTAATTTATTATTTTAATTATTTTATTTATAAACTTTTTAATGAAAATTTTGTTCGAAATGTACACCTCTTGCAGCAATACAAGCATTGCATCTGTCAAACACGGCTCTTGTAGCAGCCAGGCACTGTTCTTGCGATATTCTGTTCGCTGCAGCTACGATACGATTTCTCAAATGTTGCTCTGATTGAATAGGCGAAGAATAAACTTCTTGCTTCAGAGTACCCCATGCATAGAAATCTAATGGCGTTAAGTCGGGCGAACGAGTTGCCCAATGTACTGCTCCTCCACGTCCAATCCATCGTTGTGGGAATTTTCTATCTAACCAGGTTCTAGCGACTCTGCTGTAATGAGCAGGGCATCCATCTAATTGAAACCACATTTCAGTACGTTGTTGTAATGGGATGTTTTCTAAATAGTCAGAAAATTCATTCTCCAAGAAATTTAGAAAACGGTCCCCATTTAATCTTGCAGGTAAAAAAAACATTTTTTTTCGATTTCTCTGAAACGGAGCAAAAACGAGCATATGTCTATAGGACTTTTTTTCTTAGTTTTTTACTCCTCTACACGCTCCCGAAGTTTTGCGATTTAATTTGGAAACACCCTGTATAATAATTTATTCATATTGTTCTGATTACATCCATGTAGGTTATCCCGGTTATCCTACATATCCAGAATATACAGAAGATTCAAAGAATCCAGAAGGACTAATAGGACCTGAGGGTCCAGTAGGAAATGTAGGTCCGATTGGTGATATTGGTGGCATTGGAGGTATCGGTGGAGTTGGTCCTGATGGTCCTGATGGGCCATGGCCAACCGGTTCTCCGGGTCCTGATGGACCATGGCCTGGTGATCCAGATTACATACCCGGAATAAAACCAACAAGAAAACCTTATAAAAGTCCAATAAATCATCATCCTGACATTGAATCATTTGACACAGACAGATATAACTCCATCTCGAAATATAGTTTTAATAATAAAACTGATTCTTCGTATACGGGCTATACTCTAAAGGATATCGAATTGTCGAAGTTGTCACACCCAACGAAAGTTAATACATCATTATATATAAAGCATAGTCAGTATAGACCTCAATACGAAACTCAATCCACATCATCAATTTATGGGGAAAAAGAAACTACCTACAATGCAAATAAAATCAATTCACTGTTGCAAACAGATCTGACACCATCATCATTGAAATACGAGATCGAGGATTATCAATATACAGATATATTAAAGCCGAATTCACAATTTTATGATCACTTGATACATACAGGATCGCAACAAATAAAGAAACCTTCAAAAAATAACTTCAAGCAATTTTCTGTGCACGATCGGGATCAATATCAAAAGTCAATATTTTATCCATCTTATAACTCGCAACAGCAATCTCCTAAAGACTCAGATCAATTTGATAAATTAAAACAAGAAGACAAATTTAATGTGGATGGACAATATAATAATTCTGCCGATGTGGATGGCAAATTGATTTCTAACGTGTCCTTTCAGTCGGATGGATCTTCCTCTGCTCCGGATAGACAGGTAAATGCACGCCTTGAGCAGACATTCCGGACGAATCCCGTTTTCGACGCTATCAGGGTTCAGCCGCCCAGCTCCATCAACGTCAAGCCCTTATCGTTACCTGTAGGGCCAAATTCACAAGCATGTCCCTGTTATTTAGTCGAGCCGAATAACAACACAAACGTAGCAACCAGCTCGACTCACACCTCTATCATTGGTCAATTGGGATTCATTCCTGTTATCTTCGTACCATACTGTCCTGGCAAAGAGATGGACAGCAATAAGATGAAACTTATGTTCCCGTCCGCTACTCCTGTTCCATATGCATGCGACACATGTGATACACAAGACAACAAATATGTTGTAAAAACGCTCGATATAAATCAACTTGGCAATATCGACTATCTCAAAGAGGCATTATATCAATCCAATCTTGGCTTTTTGAATGTTCCAGTTAAGACCAACATCGAGCGAAGAAGAACCAAAAGCAGAAAGACGAAATGAGAAGTGTAACACTAACTTATTAAGCTTAAGTTGCGATCGTTCTAAAAAGAGCTTATCTTCTCCTGGAGAATAGAAATAAATATAGGATATTGGCATTGCCTGTCCGTCAGCTGCTGGTTAGTTGATGGATAGCCAAATTAAAGATATTTGCCGAAATAACCAAAGCTAATAGAATACATAAAATCTTCAAACTAAAAATTGAATTAATAACAAATTTTTTCAGTATCGTGTTTATTAAATTAATTTACCCTGTAGCTGCTTAAAGGACAGACAAATAGGTAACTTTCTGCTAATATTGAATTAATTTAAAGAAATTTAAAATAAATACAAAAATATCCCTTTTGTAAATATAATTCCCCTAACGTTCTTGTTTTTGAATTTTATATATTGCATAATTTTTTATTTAAAATATATGTTATCTTATTTACAAAAATAACAATTTTCTAAGTTGATGGAAATTATAAAACTTATATTAAGATCATTATGGTTATTTATTCAATATTTAGTTTGAAGTAAAATTAAAGAGAGATTTTTCGTAGATACTACTTCTAGATTTTACACGGTTCAATACTAACCAATATCCTAATATTTATTATTACAATTTGTATAATAGATTTTTCTGTGTTAAAACATTTTATATTTGATTTTTTGAAGTAAAATTAAATAAAAAGGTTATATAGTATGTATTAATAATTTAATATATACATAAATGTGTAGACATTATTATAATAAAACATGAAATTGTATGTTTTTAAATTAGTAATTAATTTATTCTCCCCTCTCCTTAAATATTTTATAATATTGCTAATAATAATTTGCAAATCAATAATCAACATAAACGTTTATTACATAACATAAATTCGATAGTAATACATATATATATATAAAACTCTTAAAAATAACTTTAATTTAATGAAAGTAACATATAACGTTACCTATATTAAATAAATAAATAAGAAAAGTAAATATTAAGTATGGAGAACGCGTGAAACACTTCATAGCTGGACGTAGTCGTATCTATTTATCACCTATACTCTACAGGATAGGCACTTTATAGCTAATAGCGAAATACAATAAATGATGATATATGAATACTCCGGATGAATTATGAATACTCCGAGGAAATATCGTAAGACGAGGGCCATGCTATTGACAGTCGTAATAACAACCTCGGATACTCGTATGTATATGTATTTTTATATAATTGAATGGGACGCAGAGCAGAGATGCAGGTTTCAACTGATTTGATTCAGTATTCTTGTTTAATAAAATAATAAAAAACAGAACAATGGAAAGGACATACAAATGAGTTTCTGACGGAACGCGAGGATAGTTCTCACCTTAATCTAACTAATTTCTGACTGTACTAGATGGATTTCCACTTCTACTCTCATGTTTCTGCTTTTGGCAGGTCCTTTTATATTTTGGAAATGAGTGTGGGAGTGTCCTTTCAGGACCAATCAACATTCATCAAGGTTTGATAGAACCTATACTCGCGCTTGTTTCCTTGAGATAAGGCAGCAAGGCTTCGCGTAAGCCCTACTCCCCACTCTACGAGTTTAGTCTTAATAGATAATGGTTGAGAGTTTTAATATTATAATTTATAATAAAAATTCGATCTTTCTTAACTAATCCTTATGCGAGGCGAATCTACTACATTCCGAATCATATATCCAAAATTGGTTTAATTTTATTGGAAGCAAAAAGAAAGAAAAAGAAAAGAAGAAAAAGATATTCGTCCTCGCATTCAGGAAGATTTCTATTTTATTGTTAAACGCTAATGTAATATACTATTACCAATATAATGTTAATATACGCTCTATTATTTATTATTTTATAGAAGGGCTTCTTTGAAAAAGATCGGGAGATATTCTTAAACATTCTTTAGAGTAGATAATATGTGTGACGCATAAAAGTATATAAACGTGATCTATCTGTTGGTTTGAACTAAACATGCCATTCAAAATTAAAAGATATGATAAAGAAATAAAGATAAAGTTTCAAAATAAAGATAAAATACCAAAGTGAAAATGAAATATTAACTAGGAATAGCCTAAGATACACATATTTATAATAGGAGAGAGAGATCTATCAGGATGTAACACAGTACAGGTAAAATGTTGATACGGTGATACCATATATACTTTTTAGCGTGCGATACTCACACTAAATATCACTGTCGTATTGTTACGATACTGCCACGAGATGGCGGTATACGGTGTAACTGTACTGTTACCGTACAGTTACACCATACACCGCCATCTCGTGGCAGTATCGTAACAATACGATAGTGATATTTAGTGTGAGTATCGCACGCTTGGTTATCTGGTGAAATGAAATAGATAATTCGCAGGATATAATCAATAATAAATTTATCAATATTAGGTATAATATTGATAAATTGCGGATCACTGTCTTCGAACCTCGGATAACACAAAGAAAGTACTGCGATAGTCAATTGAGCGTCTGTCCCTCTACTTGAATAAAAAATAAAGATTTCGCAATTTAGATTTCGTTTTTTCTTTATATTTTCCATTTCCTTTCTTTTTAGAGGAGTTGATCAGATTATTTACCCGACTCGAACATATATACAGGGTGATTCAGAATAACTCTGTGTTCTTGCAAAGTGTTCCTGATTGAATTCTGAGACGATTTTTTCTTTACGAAAATTTCCGATGCTTACTTTTTGAGTTATTAAAATATAAAGTTAGCGAATTACAAGCCGCGTACAAAAGGTAAGCAGAGGCGGCGCACTCACCGTCTGACGCGAGCGATCACGAGGAGCACTCGTTGCGATCAGCTATTCAAAGACATAGGGTTATTCTGTTTCACACAACACATACACACACGCTCTCTCTCTCTCTCTCTCTCTCTCTCTCTCTCTCTCTCTCTCTCTCTCACTTATCTTACAGAGATTTGTTGTCTTCATACTGTTGTAATTTGACGGATAAATTTCACGTGGAAAAGCAATACGAAGATTCTTCACGTTCCCATGTAACAAATTAACGTCATTAATAAAACAGGAAAATTTGTTTTTTTTTTTTAAATAACATTGAAGAATTGTAACACTTTCACGTACTTTTACTCACGCACTTAATCGATATCACAAGAATGATTTACGAAGAACGATTCTATCGGTTTATTATTATTAATTAGTACCGGTTAATTATTCAACTCGAAATCACTTGGAATAAGAAACGCGTTACATATATCAGTTTTAAACTAAAACGTCATTGATTTGTTATCTATCAAAAAACGAATTCCATACGGTAAAATGCCGTTTTAGTTTAAAATTCGACACGTTAAGACGAGCATAGCGATCCCTTAGGCCCACTCAAACGGTATGGTATGTATATTTTTGTATGTTTCATAGTGAAAATAGGTAGTGTACAAAAAAAAACAGCCGGTAACAAATCATTTTTTTTTTTCATTAAAAAATTTACCACTTTAGCTTAGTTTGGTGGCCTTCGATCCACAGATATGGTATGGCACTTACCTTCTGATTGGTTTTTTTGACATAAACTATCACTAGAAACAAACGCCAGTAGCTACCATATTAGGAAAAAAGCAAAAAATTTTTTACACTTTAATCACACGTCATTAATTTTAAAACCGCGGGAGGTCTGCCTTGCGTTTCCTTTATGTTTACCTGATAAATGACAAATTAATAACGGTTTCAAGCTGTAACAAATAATGAAGACCATTTTTGTGTCATCATCTCCCAAATTATAATGAATATATTTATTTAATTCTTTCTCCTTTCTATTTATTATTAGTTAATTTTGAATATAAAAAAAAGGAAAATAAGTATATGTATAATTATTGTATATACTATTATAGATATTTTTTTTTTTATATTGTATTATATACAGGGTGTCCCATAACTCACCTGACAACGCTCGTGGGCAGGTAGAGCGGACTAAACTGAGTCGAAAAGTCCTGTACTATTTTGTAATTTTCGCAATAGTTAACAAGAT